AACAAAGTATATCGATCTGATTGCTTTCTACTAACAGTAGTTACCTTTCTTATCAAATCAATTTTTATTAAAATAAAAAATAACGTAACTTATGAATGACCTCAAACTATTTATGTTAGGTCTTCTCGTTACATAATAAAGGATGATTAATGAAAAGAGATCTACGCAGTAAAATTTTGGTCTCGTTTCTAATTAGGCTAACGTTACCTCTAAGAAAACTTGTTCGGGTCTCAATGAACGAAAAAGAGGCAATCTGCACACCTCGGCAGATTCATCTACGCTACACCTGACGTTAGATTGTTATCTGCCGAGGTTAATTTGCCAAATGGTAATATGGGTGAAATTTCATGATGAACAATCGATCCCAGAAAGCCTATGGTATTACAACCTTTTCTGACAAGACATTTTAAGGTACTAGTAATATATACATGTATCTTCTTCGTTTACATGATTTCTTGTGTGTTCCATAGTGAGGTCATATAATCTGCTGACTGGATAGTTTAAATTTGATGTTTTGGTGAAAACTGAATCTTTTTACCGAAAAGATCATTCGCTTTATGGCTTAATGTTTTCAAAATGCCATGAGATGGATGAAAAGTAATAGCGAAAACAGAAAATGCATTAACCAAAGAAAATGTTTTCGAACCGGTCATAGATACCCCTTGAATCAATAAAATACATAATATGTACTAACGTACTTTTCAAAACACAGATGTGATAGAGAGAGACCAAACTTTTGGAAAGCAAAATATCTGAAACTTTTATGAGCATTTAAATTTAGAACATATTTGGCTTAGCCCTACTTTTAGTATTTAACTACAGATAATTATATACACACTTTGGTAAACTGATGATTTACAATTAGAATGATCATTTAAGTTTGCCAGATCTGAAAAAAAAACTGGTAAATTATGTATCGATGACTTTACGTTCAATGACAAATATTTTACGGAAATTCAGAAGAAGAAATTAACGATCAAATAAAATAGGAAAGTTGTGCAAAGCGTGTCGACCAGGATACAGAATACGGTGATTTTGACCGCATCTGGAAAATTAGTGTGCAGGATTAGGGTTTACATTTTACCTTGGAACAGTCCTCCCAAGTATCCTGAAAAGTTGTCTAAAGGGTTATTTAACTTGCAGAGAGCGTGGCACTATTTCGAAACTAAACATCGAATTTAACCCCTTCTGGACGTGTCTGCGTATTTACACATCCATAAAGTCAAACGAACACTCCTCTTTAGCTTTTACTGTCAAATGGTAAAAACCTAGGAACTACCATATTTCTATTCCCCAGCTAAGTAATTATACTCTCTGGGTCCTTATCTTTTAATATAATTTTTATTAAAAAAAAAACATTTATAGACTTACATGAAGTGTGTATTTCAACGGAAATAGATTTGCAAATTCTTTTCGAAGCATCTGATCCTTATTTCATAATGTGTTCAACAATGAGTGATATTTTCATTTAGATATTTTTTCTCAATCGGAATGTCCACTATACTTCTTCGTTTTTCATTGACCTAATTTCACAATATTCTGCATCTAAGAAAGGACTGTACTATAAATTTCAGGAAATGTTTCATATGAACACCTAATCTTTGAAAATGTGATAGAATTAGTTAGAATAACTTCCCCTTGAAAGCATCAACAGTTCAATAACAAACTTGGTTTGCATTGTATACATGGTATATATGTAGGACTCTAAAGTGCGATGGGGACGCTAAAGTACGATGGTCACGCTAAATTGCGATGGTATGCGCTAAAGTGCGATGCCTCCATACGCTAAAGTCCGATGGTCCGCGAAAGTATGGTCGTAAGAAACGTAGTTGGTTTATGACGTTAACAGTCGTTTATACAAACCAAAAATGAATATGCCGGAAGATAAATTAAGAATATTTGATTGACAAATTTTAAACCGACCATTTTACTATATAGATGCAAAATAGTATACGCATAGGTATCCTGTATCCTGCTTCTATTGGAAGCGAACGGATACATTAATTTTAAATCATTGTTTACGTTGCAGTTTACTTTGCGGTCCCCGTTAAAATATTGTCGATTTTATTGAAAAGTAACGTCGGTAAAATAAAGGTACATGTTTTAAGAGTAAATTATAAATTGTCGGCTAAAACATAGTTTGTACAGTGTATGAAATTATAACATGTATTTGTACTCGAACATCGCCTTTCTCTCGCATTAAAATTAAAGCTTACACAAATAAATCTTACATATTCCGACAAGACAATGAACGAATTTTGTATTAGTAATTTACAATAACGACTGTAAGGGAGATGTTCACATTAGTGATAGACTGTGTGAACGGCAAGCTACACCCATTATCCAAATATTTAATACGCCCGATTTTTAAAAAAAATCATTTTACAGGAAATAAAGCATTTTATGACACCTAAATTATCTTTTTAGCAGTTATTACGTGGTCGTTCTTCTAAAGTTAGAAAAAAAATCACTTAAACCTACAGGTAAATTATATGTTATACCTTAGCATACTAGCTTTTGCTAAAAGACTATTTTTAAACATCCATGTATTTTAACGTTTTAATCCCTCGAACCTTACCCTATTGGTCCATTGCACTTTAGCGTGATATTGACCATCGTACTTTAGCAAACAAACAACCATCGCACTTTAGCGTGAGACACCATCGTACTTTAGCGTAGACCATCGCACTTTAGCGTGACCAACGCACTTTAGAGTACCATCGCACTTTAGAGTCCTACATATATATGTTATGTTTTGTTTTGTTTTGTTGCAAAAAATAAATATGTTTATACTACAGTTATGATATTATTATTAAACAGTATTTACACAAAACACTGTATTTGAAGGATTGTGTTTATAAAAGAAAACTTTTTCGGAAAATTTTATATAAAAAAACGAAGGACACGACAAGGAAATTAAATATGAACAATCAAAGTCCATCTGAAGAAAAAAAGAAAGATGGATATTCAGAATGTAGCCGCAATACGCAAAAATAATTGAAATTTAAGCAGGAATTTCCATTTAGCTTCTCCCTGGTCTTTTGATTTATACCAGAGGGATGTATTTTGCTTCCCTTTTGATGTATATTTAACTACGGACTCTTTGCTGTTGCGATGGTACTTTAAGACGTAGAGAACATTGCACTACCTCGACACGAGGTATCGGGTTTAACGTTTCTATTCTGTTCTGTTATACCGCACAACCAAACGGACGCCCCTATTTGACAAGCGTTTCACTAATGGTTGGAAGAAGATCAAAAGTGATCAAATTGCGATATCCGAGTTTCTTGATATTAAACTGATAATTAGTTTTTACAAGATTATATTATTTTCAAATCACTTCTTCAAGTTTATACATTTGCTTGTAAAAGAGGGGCGAAAGATACCAGAGGGACATTCAAACTCACAGATCGAAAACAAACTGACAACGCCATGGCCAAAAAAGAAAAAGAGAAACAGACAAATAATAGTACACAAGACAAAACATAGAAAACTAAAGACTAAGCAACACGAACCTCACCAAAAACTGGGGGTGATCTCAGGTGCTCCGGAAGTGTAAGCAGATTCTGCTCCACATGTGGCACCCGTCGTGTTGCTCATGTTATTACAAACCCGGTAAATAGTCTAATTCAGTAGGTCACATTCGTGAAAAGGGAACGGGATTGTAGTTACGACATAAGGAACATATCCGATATCATCTGTGAAACGGAGTTTCCATAACGGTCAACCAACTCGTGATGGCGTCCGTAAAATTTACGAAGGGATGATTTCAACTTCACCATTTGGAACTCTTGGTTTAATAGCTTCCTTGTTAGCAGCAACCCTCTATCAAGGAAATCATGATAGGAAATACAATCCCGGGAATATCGTATCAATTGGGAGATATATACTTCGTATGCAGGCGCTGCTGGAATGTTGCTACATAGAAATGGAAAGTTCACAATAGGGAAGCTGAAATCATCTCTTTTGTCGTAAAGTTTTGTTTCAACCGACCCTCATTGTCAGTTTTTAGATGTAAGTTAAGATATGAGGCAGACTTAACTGTATCTGTTGTATCCTTTATCTCTAGTTCGATGGGATAGATGCGTTCAACATAGTCACCAAATTTTGAATTATTTAGTGAGAGAACATCATCTATATAGCGGAAAGTAAAGTTAAAAGATATTGCTAACTTCTTTTCTTTCTTCCTAAGAAGTTCCTATATGAAGTCAGCCTCATAAGAATAAAGGAACAAGTCGGCAAGAAGAGGGGCACAATTGGTTCCCATAGGAATGACGTTCCGATAGTTTGTTGAAAAACACGTCCTCCAAACGTAACAAATATGTTGTCAATCAAGAAATCAAGCATCTTCATAATGTTTGTAAATATATTGAACATACAAAGAGCGATTTTTCTAGTTTTTACTACTAATATGTTAACTACTATAATACTCAACTCAAATTTAAACATTTATATTGCTATTGCATGGTTACTGCGGAAGTTTTTCAGATTTTGATGACAATAATGGAGAAAAGACTTATGAGGACAGAGAAATCTGTGCGGATTTCAAGTTTACACAAATAATTTTTTTCATTATCTTTCATAATTAAAACTTTTTTTCGTTTTGATGACTATCATATTTTACTTAGAAAGCAACAACATTTATAGTAATGAAGAAGTTGAAAAATTATTAATCAAAGTGAAATTCTATATTTTAAAACCGAAAACCGTGGCTAAAACAATCTCTTGAGGTTCAATCAACATTTTCATGTAGTTAAAGTCCACGGGTACCAAGCGACTTTAATGCCCTAATTTTCATTTGCCCTCTAGATTGGAATCCGTTTTTTTTTAAACTTTCTTAATCCTCTATACGTTCTTTGCTATTTATAAATATAACGTCAATATTCAGGTTTTTAAAAACACTAAAAATAGATTATTATTAACATGATAGGAAAATTCTTTATGATTAAAGGATCTATTTAAAGCATTTAAATCAACATAAGTCAAAACAATATCCGAATCCAAAGATATATCACATGTAATGATGGAATGTGGATTTCCCAGTAACTATTGCTTTTAAGATACTAGAAATGGCAAGGGGTATTCCAAATGTAAAGTTCTTTACCCAGTAGCTTTCGATTTGAAAATAGCAGGTTTCAAGGTGTATGATGGTAAGTATGGAATGTTACTTATGGTCATAATAAACTATTTTTTTTTTGTAAATCTCATTTGTGCCTTTATGCATATATTGATTTTGAGAAAATAGCAGATTTTTAAAGACTTTTATTCTATAAATTAAACACACTCCAGTTCAACTACAAATATACATGTTTTTTTCTACCGCTACCGCTAGGAAACTGTTTTTGAAATAAGTTCTGGTATTTGTTTTAGATCAGATAGTTGAATATTGTACATAATTTTATACTTTCGTTTTTGATCATTGCGTCTTAAATAAATTAAACACAACCAAAGGATCATCATTAAATATTTTTTATATATTCAATTTTTTCTTATTCTTTGACTACAGTGAGAATATAAGTTTTCTAAAAAGATACGAGGAAAAAATTTCACGAAAGTAAAAAAAAAAGGACTAGTAATTTTGTCAGAAAGTAAACTGTTTAGCTATTATAGATTCTAGCTGAAATATTATTATTTTTATTAAATATAAGTGTTTCAATTTCATTTTGTTATATTGAAAACTGGAATGTTAGTTTCGTTTTCAGTGCATGCATGAGTTGTTCCCCTTAGCCTATTAGATGGTTTAATATGTTGAAAGCACACTGGCATTCAAACCATTTCTATTATCTTGTATTTATTTCTAGATAATGCAGTACACACCTCTATAATAAAGTAATGTTGAATTTTATTTTTCGGGTTACCAAACGACCGTCTTAATTGATATTGCTAACATTTTACTCCTTTCTGCTTAGAAAATATCATAAAAGATGTGTACTGTATTTTGAATATCGACGTGTGTTCTTTTTTTGTAACCTCTATCTCTGTTTTACAAATAGAGACACCATATCGCCAGTAAGCAGAGAAAACTATAACACATGTGATTGTTAGAAAGGCACATTTAATAATGATCGTGAGGCGGTAAACAATAAAGGGAAATAACCCATCAATAATCATACATGTATAAGACACATGGAGTAAGGGAGATAATACAAATCAATACATGTAACAATCAATACAATACACTGGCGCAACTTCTTTTCTCCTTTAAAGTCTCTCTCTCTATATATATATGTGTAATATGCTCACAATTGTTAACTAATAATCTCTGTTATATTAAGAACATGAATGAAAAAAATGTGATCAATATGCATAAACTAAACACATAACCATCAATAAGAAAAAAATATCTTCATCGAATGCAATCAAATGAATGTATATATATATTGTTTAAATAGTTAAACAAAAAATACTGTGCATATACATTGTAATAAACATAAAATGAGCAGTAAATGAAATACAGAAAGTAATATGACGAATGTCTAAGTTAACAACCTAAAGACGAGTGAGCATTAAATTTAAAAGGCAATGAAATCTTCAAACCGCGCTGGCGTTTTCAATTCGGAGCGCTTACGGAGAACGCGTTTATTATCTTGTTCATTGCTTGACTTACTATGTGTCAAGTCACGTTCGAGACTATTATCAGGTTGCCCAGTCGGCTCGTCCTGATTTTCAACATCGTCGATATTTTCGCAAATAAGAATAGGCGGGGGCTCCGCGCGAGCTGGTGGTAGGTCACGGATAAGCCCAGGAATGCTATCTTCATCATGGTCATCACAATCAGACTCCTGATTGTATACGTTCTGAGAATATCTTGGATTTCGGTAAACACTTATAGTGTTTAAAACTTTATAACATTTCGAAAGTTTTACTTTGTAGGACGAAGCGCGGAGTTGACTGCCTGCAAATTTTTTGATGAAACACCATTCGCCATCACGCGCTACAACAAGGTACCGATCTCTCGATTGGGTCTTTGACCTGTCGGTATAAAGGTAAACCAAATCCCCTATAGAAATATCAGGGCTCGGACGACCGGGTCGACTGCATTTAGAAATTTCACTAAATCCGTGATTTTTATTTCGGGCCTCGTGTTGTGCGTGAATAAGGTTCATGTTAGAAATTGGCAATTGTTCATGAGTAAACTGACTTCTTTGAGTCCATAGTTCGCGGGAGGACAATCCACGCTGGCGAAGCCTTGAATTAAGTCTCGTGGTAGCAATAACTAGTGTATTTTCAGATAGAGGAGAATGATCGCGTTCCTCACGAAGTAACTCGTCTTCAAGCTCAGCGATGGCTTTATCGGCAACTGGATTTTTGTCGATACTCGAACGACAACACTAGGATCGTTTAAAGGCTTTAAAGGTATCAATAAGTGTATTAGCCCATCTCGCAAGCTACCCAGTTTTTCGTCTTTGATAAAGCACGTACTAGTGTACGACGTTACAGTTTCTCTGACGACCAGGATGAATTGACGGTTGCGCTTAATAACGTCGCCAAGATAAGCTATGTAAGGGTAAGATATGCCAACCAAGTCCGGTGGGTCTTCTGTAGACTGCTCGACGAGGCTCTTAGGGAACCGTTTTAAAGACGCGCATGTGTGACAGGAGTCACTAGCTTGTTCGACCGCCTTTGGCATATCTAAAGCGTAAAAGTGACGTTTTAAGACGAGGTTCAATTGGTGTTTTGACGGATGTTCCAACTTAATATGTAGAGCGGTGACGAGTACGTCAAGAACGCTACGTGGAACAATGATCAATTCGTTGGGTGGAACAAGCGGATCACAACGCCGAACAACTAACAAACCGTCTTTGGCGATTGATGCAACATTCAGGTAACGTTTGACGTCCTTGATGTTTGTCAGTTTTTTGGAGGGCAGAGTGCCTTGTTTTAAATGAGCGTGAGATCAGGGCATTCTGATTGAATATTAATCCAGGCCGACCTGGTGGTGAAAGGTAGGCAAAATTCGTCATTGAGAACGTCTTGAATGCTTACCGCTCGTACGACAGAATCTTCGGTACGCGATATAAAGCAACAAACCTGACAATTAGGCTCTGTACATACGGGTGCGTTTCTGCTTGCAAAGTCAGATGGAATATTTGCACGACCGGATAAATGATTGACGCTGACCTGGAATCGGCTTACAACGGAAAGAAACGATGTGACTGGCCGAAAATTCACCACCATATAGTTTTTCAAAGCCCTGTACGCATGGTTTACTGTCTGTCAACACATTAGCTTGCAGTTTTGACTGAACAATAAAGGGACTGAAATGTTTCACACTAGCGGCAATGAAAAGCGCTTCGATTTCACACGGTAGCCACAACACTTGATGTTTACGCAACTTAGCACTGAAAAATCCTGCTAAGGACACTTTACCGTCACGATTTATGTATAGGGTCGCTCCGATACCGCGTTTAGTGACAGATCCGTCTGTGACTATCCACAGTTGATCACTGCATTTAGGTAGCGTGATGGCTTTACGGGAGCTCAGAGACTATTGGGCAAACTCGAACTGTTCTCTTAGCATGTCGGACCAAATAATTTTGTCAGCTGATTTCATACCACTTATTCTCTTCTAACAGGGCTATTAAGTTGGAACAATTCGGTATAACGCGGCCTAGCGAAAATTGAACCCTGTGACCAAATCCAACCTAGGATTGTTATCGATTTTGGACAAATAACAGTTTTGCTAGGTGATAGACAAATTCCTGATTTTTGTAGCGACTGAAGAACGCATTTCCAATTGTATAAAAGCTCTACCGGGATATTACCGCCACAAAATAAGTCATCTGCCAATTTAGCTACGCAACCCTTTTGTAAGAAATCCCCCACAATACGACACATTAGTTCTTCAAGAGCCGTTTCGGAACCAGGCATTCCCATCGCACAACGTGTATATACGCGAACTCTACGATAAGGGGTCGCGACTCCGCAATACTTCATCGAATCTTTTGCCAGGGGAATTTGGTAAAATGCGCTTGTAAGATCAGACTTGATTATATATTTCCACTGTGCGATCGTACGGAGTGTGAAATCCACGTCGGGCATAAGAGAGGGTTGCGGCTTACTATATCTGCCAACATCGGCAAATGCCGTTACAAGTCGGAAACCACCGGAAACTTTTTTGGCAAGACATGAAGGGTTAATATACTCGACTGAAATTCCGACGTCTTCGGGTTTACGGAACACTCCTTTACTTTCCAATTCGTCTAATCTGTTTTGGAGTTCTACCAAATTATTTTATGAATACTGTGGCATTCTACCTTTCCTTTGGGGAGGCTGGACAGGGCCCATATTAACAGATGCTTCAAATGGACCTATTGCCCCATTATACCCTTCAAAATTAGGACTAAAAACTTCACTGAACTTTCGCAGAAGTTCATTAAACTGGGTTTGGAGATCTTGACTAAGTAAATTATCTGGGTCTACAGAGACTTGTTTGCAAAAGTGGGAAGTATGTGTTGTGTCTATGTAGTTTGTTGTTTTTAGGTCACGGATATTGTCGGGAGCCTCTGGTGCGTTGTCTACTGTAGTCGTAAGTCGTACTCGACAGAAATGTTCATTTCGTTGTATGAATTGCGGTACCGACGCGTTATTCACGATGCGTATTTTGCCTACGACAGACTGAGCAATTTGCGGACTGGGCCAATCTTTCGTACGAGAAGGTCAGTGTGAGGCTCGATCGCGATAATGCAATCCGATTCTATTTCCGATGGGATGTCGTATTCGCCGTAACATCCTGGCCAAACTACTGAACTTGCTGTAGGAGCCCGGATAAGAAAGGCATGTGTTTTACGTACGCGAGTATTACTAGAGTTAAGTTCCTCGTTTGGGCTACCATAACTAACAGTTACCTTGTCGCGTATTACGATTTTATGTTTGCTAAGGAAAATCGCGATGTCGTTCGATGACATGAAAGGGATACCGGCGTGTATATCAACGTCCAAGTCGTTACTACTAAGGCCTCTAACTGTAACTCGATTCCGTCTCTCGAAAGTGTGAAATGGCATTCACCAACTATATTTAACGGGGTAACACCGTCAGCTTGTAGATCGGAATGGTTGCTTTTCTTAATTGTTACGCCGATGTAATCCGCGGAAGAAGCTTTTATGATACTCACCTCAGCACCCGTATCTAGTATTAGCTCAAGCGGGAA